GCACCAGACACTTTGCGCCCTGTGCGAATTCTAAAATCTCGCCCAATCTTCCAGTTTGTAGAGCCACGCTGTGGCAGAAGACCGCAGGTTTTGAACCAAGTTTCATTCACAGTTCGTAGTATTTTGGCCATTTTGTGACTGGTTAGTGGGCTCCCTCATCTTGAGCTTCCCTGTTCTCACAGCATTTACCCGAAAGAAGGGAAAATAACACAAAAAAAACTTTCACCGTTGTTGATTCCAACCGCGGACATCCCGAACAGGAAGCAGGAAGGCTAGTGCAATTTTTCATTATCGTATTTAGAATTAGAACAGTTTGTGAGTCGCATGAGACAGTTTAAGTGTGACAGAAGTCCAGTTCCAGAACAATAGTTGCACCTGAGACATTGGGATATTGCAGTACTTAACTAGGAATTTCGTGATTTATTGGCCTAGGACAGGGGTGGAAAACCTTTTCATGTTGGAAGTCCGCATTAATTTAGCTATAATCAAATAAGGCAGCATTCAAGAAACTTCAATTAGATATACTTGAAAGTGTACATTATGTTGTAAAAATCTAACTACTATGTACTTAATAATTTCAAAAAATGAAAACTATTTGTTAATTTTTATGAGCCGGCGTAGCTCAGTCAGTATAGTGACTAGCTACGGGCTGGACGGCCGGGGTTCGATCCCCGACGGTGGCAGAGGATTTTTCCTCTAGCCTCTGCGTCCAGACCGGCTCTGGGCAATCACAATAAAGTAATATAAGATAATTAAATGGTTAAAATATTATCCTTTGTTCCGTATCGAGTACTCGATTTACATATGGAACATTTTCGACATGTTTCGGCTTTCATGGAGCCGTCATCAGGTGTATGTTATAAACTCTTAATTCAATTACTAATTTTTAATTTTTGTATCACTTCTTCGTTTTTCACATTGTATCAACATTTGTTGTTGTGTTATATATCATTGATACAATTGTATTGTCAGAGTGATGTTAATGCTGCGTATATTGGTCAGAGAAGTAATATCGAAGTTGTAAGAGGAGAGATCAGAAGTACATCGTATCGGAGCGAGGTTGGTTACTGACTGCGGTGTTAGTGGGTGAAAGGCGGAAAAACGAAGAAAATGACAAGAAAATTAAAAATTAGCAATTGAATAAAGAGTTTATAACATACACCTGATGACGGCTCTACGAAAGCCGAAACATGTCGAAAAATGTTCCATATGTAAATCGAGTACTCGATACGGAACAAAGGATAATATTTTAACCATTTAATTATCTTATATTACTTTATTGTGATTGACGGACAATTTTAATATATTTTAATACTATTTTTAAATAAAATCACAATATGACGCACCTACAATATCTTACTTACATTTGTTAATTTTAAAGTTAACTAATCTTTTAATGACTTTGTTGTGTCTGCTTTTTGTTGGAAAGCATTTGAATATTTGATTGCAGCATGTATTAATAAAAATAAAAGGATTTGTTCTGTAAAATTTGGATTCAGTCAAAAGGCCTCACTTAAGGACCTAGAAGGCCACAGATTCCCCACCCCTGGCCTAGGACGATATGCTGTCTTGTTTGATGTATTCTGGTTCATGTTTGGAAAATGAAGAGTGGTTGTGGCTTTGGAGGATTTCAATAGTGAAGTTCATTGTAGCTTGTGGATACTCTACTCTAGCGAGTAATTAAAATTAGAATCTCCACATACAATGAATTCAGTGCCTGGATTATCACTTAATTGAGAAGCTCGTGTAAATAGTTAACAGTAGGTAATCCATTGCACCCGTACAGCTCACTAATCTTCTTATCAGCTAGCTATCGGTCAGCAGAATTATGAGATCTTCTCATGGGGTACTGGGATGCATTCAACGTGACACATTTTTAGAAAAAGTTACTTCTAAAACTTTATTGAAATCTTTAGCAATACACAGCGACTGCTCTTGACCAGGAATTGACCGTGAGTGACGCCAACAGTTTATGACGTGGGGTGGGGCAAACCAAAACACCTTCAACGGAAATACCCACCCGGCTGAGCAGCCAGCCCATTGTTCTTTGAAAAATGCAAGTTTTTAAACTGAATTCCTTCAAAAAATGTCCGGCTACACCGTGCTCAAAGTTACCACCCGGAGATCTACATACGGCTACTAAGGACGAGCTTTAATCTATTTGATGGTGATGTTCTTCTGGGTTGGCGCCGTAAACTCGTCGGTCGGACTAAATTCTTGGGATAAATATTATTTGTAAGAGCTTCGGCGTCAGAGGGTTAAATAGTTACAGTCACTTTTGTAACGTGTGTTTACATAATGCTGGTTCATGTTGGATGTGACGCGATCCAAATAAAGAAATTCAGATAAATAAACCACAAACGCAATTGTTATGGTTTGGCTACGAAGACACTAGTTGTCGATTCTTTTGACTACCAGCTACAATGCCAAGAGAACTGTCAAAATTTCGGTGTGGGTTGTGTTAACACTGTAACTTGATTTGGTGCATATTAATAGAACGTAGAATGAGTTCTGAGTGTAGTTTTCATAGAAGGGAATGTACATGATGGTGTGACACCACCCGAAATCTCTACCCCTAATCTCTTAATTACAATTGAACCAACGGTTGCTATAACGCGATTTTTCCACCACGCGGTGTTTTCCATGAACACAACTGTCGCGTTATAGGAGAAACGGCTGATTTGGAAGACTAAATTTGTATAATAAACATTGGCGTTTTTTATTTCTCTTGCGCGATGGCGAGATCTGGGAACTGAGAAGACGTCACACAACTTTCTTTCCACGTCCTTTTCGATTCATTAATCATATCATTCGTCGCTATATAATTAATCTGTGATGCTGACAGAGTTATTAAATAATTTAAACCCCAAATAAACAAAGTTTAAGATGTTGGTACGTTACTTTAACGTCGCTCTTTCCACGAAAAAGTACAAAGAAAGTAAAGCTGTCCCGCTATACGCCGTGTAGGCGCTTAGGGGGAGAGCCGGTACAGCTCCTACTCATTTTAACCTCCCCACTGGATGGGGGTGAGTGGTCAGCGTCACTGCCTGGCCGCACGGATTTGAGGAGATATAGTAATGGTCTGTTTCAGTGTACTGCCTTGGTATTCCATTAAAACAGAAGAAAGCCATGACAAATTGTCATTGTGGATAGACTACCTTCTAAATACAAATCTGGACATTCTCGATTTCGACAAGTACCACAAATCTTGTAGTTGTCACCCTGCGTATAACTGTGGTACGCGCATTACAAATGACGTTCTGTAGACCACGCACTTTAAAAGAACTTTCAATTGCTGGGTCGCTGTCTGTTTAAATCAGTTCATGAATCATTATACTAGTCCACTTGTGACGGGATATAACCTCGTGATAGTTTGAATTGTAATCGAGAGAGATCGAAAAAGCATAGCGTATGTATACTACACTACTGCATGTATCTTACAGCGATTTTCATTTAAATGCATTCACTTCTTTACTCTTGAGTCCACAGTTCTGATTCACAGCTGAAAACCCAATTTACGATCCAGTTATAACGTGCTGGATGGTCAGGTCTGTCGTTCATCTAAGAGGCGGTAAGAAATGAGTGTGGAGCAATGGCAGAACTGATTAGCAGGGGAAAACCGAAGTATTCTGTGGGAAACATCCCATTGCCAGTTTTTCCACAACAATTTTTTCGTGGATTGACCAGGGACTGAAACCGGACCTCAGCAGAGAGAAATTCGTGGGAGCATTCGAACCTGTGATTCCTCATAAACCGGTTTGCACCAAATGGGACATCGTACTGCATAAACCGCATTTAATTTAGCTCGGTGGTTGGCCGCATAACATTCTGTGAAATCTGGGTGAAGGCAAAACTCCAGGAATGTATTAGCACGTTGCCAGGAAGACAAACTAATTTCATTACCGTTTAGAACTCTTAAAATAAAATTATTCTTAGCATTTTAAGTGCTAAAAACTGTGTCTGGTTCAGAAACATTATAAGTTTCAGACCGGCATTTTTATTTTTGATACTGTTCAGTATTTAAAATTTAATCTTTTTCCACATTTTCAAAAAACGAAATTCTGAAATTCTTAAAACCTCATCGTGAGAAAAATAAGAATGAACTGGGAAAACTAAACTTCTGTACAATAAATAAGATTGGTAGTAGAATTAGAATGTTCAACACGTCCATTTCTACCGGTGATAATGATTAACATGATTTTGCAATTTAATTAATAACAATAACATTAGGGCTGTAATAGCAACAGCTCGCACACAGTGGAATACATTGTCGTCATTTTGCATTAATAGGTTTTACATGAAGTGATGAAATTAAATTTACCACATGTGGAACGGATTACACTCCTACAAAATACAGTAAAAAAATCTAAACCAAAAATTCCGCCGTTGAACACTATCCTGAGCCAGCGTCATCTACCTTCCATCCTCGCAAACTGTACCCCGAAGATACGCCTGGTTGTTATTTTCTTCTCCATCCCTTCCCTGACTTCAAATGGACTTTTCCAAAAGCTTCGCTATCAGAATTCTATATGCGTTTTTTGTCTCCCCCATCTTAGCCACATATAAACACATATTTACGTTGGACAGAGATCTGTCATGTGTTGTGTGACAGTTCCTTAAACATAACGGAAAACTGCACATTTTAACATACGCGCTTTATAATGTAATGCACTCAGGCGGTTTTTGCTCTGAGTAATCTTATCGCTCCAGTGTGCTTGTTCATACCTGCACAGACAGTTACGTAGTATTCAGCCGACAACGTTACTGTTTCGATTTTTGTATGTACATACATCAGTGAAGGTAGGAGTTGTATTTCGAGTGAAAAACAAACATTGTCGCACGAAGCAGAAGAAAATAAATCAGATTGTGCTAGGAAATCTGAAAAGCTATTTAGTCCCACATACTGAACTTCCTTGTACTGTTCATCTCGGAACAGCGTGTTTTCCACGAAATTCATCGTCACGTGCTAGTTGCGGGAATTCACGCCGGCTAGTGAGAGCGCATGCGCTAGGTTGTACCTATATTCAGAGCCGCCGACACTACGCCAGCAGTCTGGTGGTATATGTGTGATAGTGAGTGTGTTTTTGTATTGTGTTGCTGAAGTGTAGTGACAGGTGATTATCGAAACACACGTAACTTCATAATACGAAAGCCTTCACTTATAAATAGAACACAAGACAGTGTCACTGGAATATTTGAACACGCAGATTCATAAGATGACTCTAGAAGACCTACCAGAAACAAACATGAGCAGGTAAGCTATGTAGTCATTTTAGTTTTTAAATTATAAGTTATTATTTTAAGCATATTTTAATACGCTCTTTATGTGCAAGCTGTATGTTTGCGCAGTTGTAAGGGATTCGTTTCCGAATATAAATGTCACAAGCTTTTGTAACAGTTAAATTAGCAGGCCTTGAAATTATGCGGTCTTCAGAACCCTCATTACTAAACACGGGAATTACAGTTCGGGTGATCGGCATGTAGATAGTTTGAAGTACAGAAATGCTGCAGTGTTTTACATTTCTATGACAGTGAAGTTTTTGTCGTGTTGTAATTTGTAAAATGTCTGCAATGAACCTCGATTGAGATGCGCGGTCACGAGGGTTTTCACTGGATGGAGAGTTGCGCAACATTGCGCATGGAATGCTTCATCGTATTTGTTACCGTATCAGTGTTGAAACACGCATTATCAGTTTATCTGATGTAATCTCATTTGCCCAGCAAAATGTGTAACGACACTCCATGTTTGCCATCGTCATTTTCTCACATAATCTATTGCTATGCGTTGACAGCAGAAGATACTGAAATGTACGAAACAGGAAAGTGTGCAGTACTCAGATAATTTTTGATTTTTTTTCGTTGTGAACACATGGACTTGCATCGACATGTACCGTAATCTCATGTACTACCGAAGAGAGTTTAGAATAAATTTATGTTATGAACCGGTGTTTGAGAGGGAACCAAGTTGTCCCCAGATAAAAATTCTGACTGCGGTATTAAAACTTCCGGGTATTATCAATTAACTTCAAATGCATGTTCGCTGATACGAAAAATTCTACAAAAACAATCCTATGGTTCGTTTATTGAAATCAATTACAATCCAAATTTCAAGGTGATCAGGTCAATGGCCTGCGCTGTACCTCGTGTTTTCGTCTTTCTGTACACTCCCGAGTGACATAATATTGTGCAATGCCGTACCGGTACTTAAGTGTATCAGCTCGATCCGGTCTGCAGTGGGAAATTGCCCGTTAGTGAGGGAGGTGAGAGCTTGGATGCGCGTGTGGTGCAATAATCTTAATGATAATATTAATAGTGCATTTAAGTGCCATGCAGGGCAGTAAAGGGTGTTTTTCTTGCGTCATGAACAGGAAAGTAGTATGTAAGGCGGTATTGACCGTCTTGAGGAAAGCCCAAGCCGAAAAGCGTCTCACGTGTGGACTTCTCCCAGCCATAAAGTTGTTGGAGATGGACCCTGAGAGCGCCCTCTTCTGCATCATGCCACAGAGCAGCCAGGGCAATGCGGCCCTTCACATACAGACTGTCTTGCTGCAGGCGTTCTGTTACGAGAATGATATTCGCATCATTCAGGTAAGCATCTCCGAGACACTTACATTGCTTAGAAAAGTGTTATAAAGCTTTTCATTTGGTAGCTACATACTTTGAAGTATGATACTAACAGAAACCTTGCACTTCTACATTTTTCTTGTTTTTAGTAAGAAATTTTTCTAAAAGAACTTTTACATATTCCTGGACAGATGACATTAACTGTGATTAAGATGGGCAGGGGACATTTGCTGGATTAGTGGCTCAAAGAATGAATGAATGCTTAATTCTACGTGCAAAATTGAGACCAGCATTATGACCACATTTTACAGGTCTTTATTCATATTTGCTAGGATGCGGTGTTGGCATGTGATGTTCGAATGTCGTTTGTGATTACTTCGCTGAAGATTACTGCATTTGTTATTTGAGTTTATTACGGATTCATCTTTGTGTCCCTGCCAAGTTTGATATTTGATTTGATGTTTGTTTCTGTTTTCAAGGTGGACAGTGCAGAAAAGCTAGGAGACATAGTGACAGGAAAGCATGATGGTCCTCGGTTCGACAGCAGTTGCGTCATAGTGCATCAGCCATGGGCCACAGACCAGTGTGTGCTCTCAAAATCAGAACAGCAGTTGGTGAGGTTTTGCCACAAGACTCTTGATGAATTTCCACAGCCAGTGATAAAGTTGCCAGTGCCGTGAACCTGAACCAGAATTTATCCTGGAAATAAGGTGTATATCATTTATTTTTCTTTTCATTTCAATGCAAAAAAATTTAAAAGATTGATTTGATTTCTGTCATGTTGAGAGATACTGTTAACATTAATATTTCCACTGTTGTGGATGAAGTAGGTATGTACTCTGACATGTTTTTGTTCAAAAGAAAGAGAGCTAAGAAATATAATTGCCTCTTTGGTTTCCTCAGCAACAGTCAAAGGGTTAAATTTCAGAAGCTGACAGTTGTAACGCTAGTTTAGATTGTCAGTTCTGGCTGTCTACTGCAAAATTATGTGATTGGTTTATGTCTCAAGTACAAAATTTGAATGTTACTTTGATTGAAGCTTTTCGGCTAACGAATGTCCTGTTTCAGATTCTCTATGCCATGGAAGGCATTTTATCTTCTCAGAGGGTGTTCTGCCCATAATCAGGAAGGCATAGTCGATGCCACATTTACCTGATGTTTGAGGGCAACGCCCACATGCATGAGATGCGATATCGTGCAGACCCAGTGTTGTGCTTCGGTTGGTGATCAGCCAGTGCTGCTTGAGTCCGTTTTTGCAATCCAGTTCAGAGATTGACTGTGCAGTATTTCTGTGGTTATTTTTCACTGCTGGTGAAGATAGTTTCCAATAAATCTTAGAGTTTGTATTTATCAAGTGGTTATCAGATATAATAGGGTTTTTGAAGAAACATTGTAACAACTGATGCTAAAAGAAGAGAGGGAGAAAGAAAGCTAAAAGAAGAGAGGAAAAAATTTTTTAAGTATATTGTACTACACATGTATGTTACTTTTAATTTTCAAAATAAAATGTTGTGTTTTTCTATAATTGTGTTCTTTGTGTGTATAAATAAAGTGCACGGTCGTTTATGTGGAATTCACGTTGTGTAATGGAGCTCTCAAAGAGTTAGACCTAGTCAAGGAACGTAAATTTCACAGATAGTTACCGTATTATGCAGATATTTCAAAAATAGGAATACACAAAATTAAAATTTTAAAATTGAAAGTGGTTTTTCAGACATTTATTTTTGTTTCTTGTTGCATCACGCATAAACAGCTGTGCACTGACACCTTCATTTATTATTCTTAGGCTCAATGAAATCTTGGAAAAACTACAATATAAATCGAATGTTTTAGGAGTTCCTTCTACTTTGTAATTACTCGTAATGAGTCAGGGAAGTTCTGAAGTGTCGGAATTTTTTTCAGCTTGGCTTCGGGAACTGGATATGGCACGTAGTTTGAAGAAATGTTGAAGGCCTAAAATTCTGTTAAGAGACATCAGCACTTGAATCCAAACTTTACAACTAATCAGTTTTCAAAGTAGAAAATGGCTGTTTTCTGGTTTGGCGTGCCGTGTAGATAACGCAACATATAATTTTTAATATTACCCTCCTCCTTGGGCTTCCAAGTAATTCCTCTCCAGAATGTTTTTATTTCTTATTTGGTCTAGAATTCTACCATCTCAGTTTCCTTCGTTTGAATACCCAAACTTACCTTTAAGTGGGATGGGCCTTGTATTCAAGAGATGATCGATGTTTGGTATCAGCTGAGTAACCAGCTAACTGACCAGGGTATTCTTCGATTTTTTCAGTCCTAGCCACATAATAGAACAGTACCTTGCAATAGTTACAGCCTCTCCCTACAAATTCTTACTTACCCTCAATTGATGATCATATTAACATCTTGTAAGATGCTGTACAGTAGAATGCATGCAGATGATGCAACACAAAATTAATTTAATTTAATTGTTTATATGCGAGTCACACTCACGATGAACTGAGTACTTATTAGCTGTAGTTGGACTTCAACTCCATTTATACTGGTTTTCTGAAGGTTATAAATTCATCTATTAGTAACCTATATCTTCTTCTTCTTCTTCTATGGCTCTCCAGTCCGTATTCGGTCCGTGGCCTCCTCAATTCTCCTCTTCCATTCGGTCCGTCTGTCCGAGGCTTTGATTGAGGTTCCGAAACATCTTCCTATTTACGGTGCGAGGTTGTTAGCCTTACGACCAACCCCCAACCTGGAGGACCAGGGTACCTGTCTTAGTCTGACCTCTCCCACTCGAGTAATCTGGCTAGGGAGGCCCTACCAGTAGCTCTTCGGATGACTGAGGTACTCAAGCCCCACCACCACCACAAGGTGCAGGTACCATTAAGTGGGGAGTAACCTATATCATTTTGTATTATTATTTTACTCCATGGAAAGAACTCGAGGTAACCATTTCATATGAGGCTGGGTGGGCCCTAGAACCTGTCTGGACGCGGTAGGAAGGAGAGAAATTCCTGTCCCTTTCAATAATCGAATTCCGAAAGTAAGTCCACAGCCAGCCACTTGTTGACTGAGCCATTCCAGCTCAGCATGATATGGAGGTCAACTTAATCCAGTCTGAGATGAGTCTGGGCATGCTAAAAGCCTTCGGTGAACATCTGTTACGTATTTAAAGATCTGAAAGAGGAAGGGGGGGTTCAGGTTCAGCCATTTCTGAAATGTCTGAGACGACATAAAAGAAGTCACTTTTTATGTCCATTTTGTACGAAGTGCACACTGCCTAATGAGGAAGTCGTGTGAGCTCCGACACCGCCTACTGAACAGATTTCGATTAAATTTCGCAGTCATCGATTTTAAATCAAAGTGCTTTCTACGCTGGATATACGAGGCTCGTCCACAAAGTACGTTTCCCTGGGGCCGTTTACAGAAACAAAACACAATTTCATGGAAATATTTATTGCAACAGATACAGCAAGTGTCCAGCTATTTTTCAACATATTCGCCACCGGAAGTGAGACATTTGTCATACCGTGGGACCAACTTTTGAATACCTGTGTCGTAGAAGTCTGCCGCCTGGGATTGGAACCACTGTGTGACAACCATCTCCGCCTCTCTGTCATTCTCAAAACGCTGACACTGACCGGACAGGAATTTCTTGAGGGGTAGGAAAAGATGGAAATCACTGGGAGCGAGATCCGGGCTGTAGGGTGAATGATTAAACACCTCCCAGCTGAACTCCTGCAGGAGACTTGCTGTCCGTCGAGCCGGGTGCGGCCTAGCGTTATCACTGACCGCACTTCACAGGCGGCGGGAGCTGGAATAAGAACCTCCATCTTCAACAGCCGCAACGATGCTACTGTGAGAACGCGGGAAGTACCGTTAGTGCATGCGCCATGCTACGTCATTGCTCTATCACGTACGCACAGCCGCTTCGCGCAATATAAGGTTTGCTAGCTGTGAGACGAGTGGGAAACTTACTTGATTATTTCTCTAAGATCATATACCAATCGACCTATGTAATGGAGACTTCAAACGGTTAAACACAGAGTGACTTCTGTCGGCAGGCGAAAGATATAAACTCATCCTTTAACGTGTCTCCACGGGCACTATGAAGCAAAAACATTTGTCGTTTTGTTATCCATTTCGAAAATCTTGCGTATCACTTCAAGATGCATGCCTTGTTTTCTGACCGCCCCTCGTATCTTACGGATGGGCATAAGTTGTGTAGAAGTGATCATGTGCTCAAAATGATTAGTCCCATGCTATGCAACCTCAAAATCTACCATGGAGCATGAATGATGGCCTATAATGCCTCTAATGGAGATTGCTTGTCTTGTCTTGAGATATCATGCGTCATTCATTCTATGCCCGGCCGAGTGCACACAGGTTCAGATATGCTGAAGTGGATGATTAAACCTCTGTTATCTCAAATTGTAAACATGTATGAAATAATAGTTCCAAAGGCTTTCTTTACTGTAACAGAATGATAATTAAGTTATAGAATTTGGAGAAAAATACATAGCGAGTAACCTAAGAAGAGGCCAAGAAGTAATGAAGGAATAAAAAAGGAGAGTTAAGAAGTCCGGATTGTAATCTGAAGATGCTAGGTTCCAATCTCTGCCGGATAACCATGATATGTTTGTGTCTCCCCCAATCTAGGCCACATTCTCCCATTTTATCATCTGTGTTATTTTTCATATGATACTAAGCGTATGCTGTATACATTAAAACTCCTCATTGACTTTCATGTCGTTTATTTCAGTGATATCTCTTCTTCTTCTTCTTCTTCTTTTGTTGTTGTTGTTGTTGTTGTTGTAAATTTAAATATGTCTTTTGGGTTGTTGCACCGTGTATCCTGGTAGTTCACGACTTTTCAGAGGTGGGTGCTGCCTCCATCATCAGGACGATTATAACACTGATGATAAAAGCAGTCATCGCCTTCAGACAACACTCACCTCCCTGAGAACTTCAAATCTTGTTTGTAAAGTTGATCACACTGCATGGAGCTACAAGATATTCTTAGTTTTGTTTTGTCAAATATAAACACAATTTGTCCAAAAACGTTTAGACTTTCAGCTACTGTGTCAAGTATCAATTTGCTGTACGATTAGCACTTTGAAAAAAAAAGTTTTATGTGAGATTCATGGGCACTTATAGGCTATACTATATCAAATCATAAAATTATCTCCGTTTCAGATCTATTAGTGTGTACCCGCAGTACTTAATTTTACTGATAGTTTCTGAACATGCTTCTGCATGCGGATAGACAGACCTCCGTATTTTTGTTCAGATCACAGTACTTGTGCAAGGAAAAACGCACAATAACGCGTGTGTGATTTTTCCCGTCATGTTTAAGTTCTTTACACGGAAACAGTTTGACTGCAGAAGACTGCGTGAATGTATTGCAGGAAGTTTCGTGCCGCCAAGGTCAACCCGGTCGATAAACCGAGAGACTTGTAATGGTCCTGACCTTGCGTTTCTTCGTGTGCAGTATTCATTGAATGGCGGGAGAGCTGTCAGTGTAGTGGGCTGATACACCAGGATGCGATTGTCAGCAAGAGCCCTCTTCGGAGTCAAATTCAGACTCTGGGGCCCACGTAAACACTTTCCAGAAATGTTTTATCCAAAGCAGCAACATGTTTTTTTTTGTGAATTCATGCGGAAGAAATGGGCAGGAGACAGTGGCGGGCTCTTGTGAAATCGGTTAAGAACCTACTGGTTACATAATAGACTGTAAATTTCTTGAGTAGCTATGCGACTATTAGGTCTGTCTTACAATACAGTAGGCCAACATACATTACAAATTCAATTGCCCTGTAAACAGCTCATAAATAGGTTTATTTACAATGTACTGTACATTTGACGGTTTTATGTGACATTAAAACAGAAGAGACGTCATATCACCTGTCTCGTAGGTTCGTTATTACCCCTCTGAAGTCTGAAATTCAGATAAATAATATTTAAAAAATTAGTCTTACTTCAGAGAAAACGAGTCTCCATTGCAAAGATCAGTTGGTTAATGTCGTTTAAGGAAATAATCGCTATTTATATTGAGAATCACAAGAAACCAATGTAAAGTTAGGCAAAATGCAAAGTTAGTGACTTTTAAGGGATGTGGTTCAGTATATAGCATAACGCACAGCTGTTTTTCGAGAGTGATAGATGTTTTGTATGCTACTTTCACTTTGCAAGGCCTAAATAGTTTCGTTATTATTTTGGTTTTGTTATCAATGTATGTGAACGAAGCCTCCTTATATTTTTGATCGTTATTCTGATATTTCTACCGGTCTACGGGTAGTTCTTGGTGGTTCTTACCTTCATTAGTTTTTGTAAAAATTTAATTTACAAAATTCTATCCAACTGTTTATAGATCTTGGTCAAAATTAACAGTAGTCCGGATACAGTTTTATGCTCGTTCGATATCAAGAATATACATACCAACAGTAATGCAGATGCCCATGGCATTCTACACTTTGTGCAACATAAACCAAGAACTTGGAATTTTTAATAATCG